AAACTAAATACAATAAAATAATTTCCGAATTAGAACACCATTGATAACATGCGTCGGTGAACTGTACCTACACGGCAGCGTCGCAATGTCGGCGACATCAAAACGACGCCGCCGCCGGCGAACTTTACATTCTTATTACCTACCTACCAATCACTTCACTTGCTTTTAAAAATCTATTTATAAAGAATGCGATTTTATTCACGTGTTTATTTCGTGAATGCTCGACTAGCTTCCGACCCAGCAGTACGCGTCACTCCTTGAAAAAGTAGTTACCTTGGTTGTCTCGTAATCTTTGTACCGCCCTTACAAAAATTCGGCAGTCTGTAGGACATACACGATTGACTCCATACGTGTCCGTAAAGCAAAAGATGCGTTTTGATAGAGTTTTCCATAAATTAACATCATAGCAGGATATTCCGCGGCTGTGAAGGTCACTCACGGCATTATGGATGTTGATATCGATAACCCAATAAAATTAAAAGACTGATAATGCACTCAGTTTCACACTACACTACACACAGAACCTAATAGTGACTTTTCAAAATAAAATTAGCAGGACTCCTTACATTACGAAGTCTTGCGCACACGATAACATTAATTGTTCACACCATTGCCGTGTATTATGACGAAAGCAATAAGACTAAACAATTATTACCACAAGAAAACTTCTCTAAACAAATATGTATCTCATAAACAACAACAATATTATTATTACGGTTATTTGTCGTGAGCGCATCTACAAGGATACGGAATAGCATAAGCTCGCCGGTGGCCAAGGGCCGACTGACTGTCCTTACTGGATGAACTAATTAAAAACGCGTGTTGCATCGTGATGACGTAATAATCAACATATTTCGTTCGATTCGGGTGTAGTAAAAGCGGCAACGTGTGATTACCGCGCCGCTGATCTATACCTACAGCTGATCGCCGCCTGAGGTCAATGTATTATGACTGCATGTACACATGATGTTGCAATTTACGAAACACAAAAATGAGTCCTGTGGCTAAACTACTGGATATATTTTGTTCATATTTTGCAAATCGCCTAGAAATTAAGGGTAGAATATGTGGCTTAAGTATATGTGAAAGGAAATGAAACTCTCTGTATATTACTAAATACATACATATTATAGATAAATTACACCCATACAACCGAACAAACGATCTTACTCATCACACAATTAATTGTCCTAGGTAGGAATCGAACCTACGACCTCTGGCGTAGCAGTCAGGGTCACCAAGCACCATTAAACAAGTGCCATCGCGTATGTATGTGTGTATATAATCATTCTTTTAAAAGTCCTTTTTAAAAGAATGATAATATACCTCAAGAATGTGTTTCTGTTAAGCGAAAAGTTTTACGAATCCATTAAAAGCACAAGGGATGATACTGCCCTCGAAATATTTGTGGGTACTTTACTCGTGGGGTTCAACGTGATACTTTTAGTTTATTAAAATATACCTTTTTGGTACAGATTAGATATGGTTTTTATCACACAAAATGTTAGTTGATTATTTAAACTAAAATAACTTTTGTGGGAAATGTGATGCTCTGTAGAACACTTTTATTTTCTCTACGATATACGTGACGGGTTAAGAATACGGAGTGTCACCACCACTATTCATCCCGTGGGTGTCGTAAGATCCGACAAGGGCTGCAAACTACGCAGGACAAGAATACTGCAATGAGAAGGAAAACTTGACACAAACCCTTTTTTTTTTATGTGTGGAAATCCCCTCGGACCGTCACCCCTCCGGGGTTTGCGGCGGGGTGGTGTGTCGGACTCGGACCGACTAAAACCACACGGTGTGCCACTCTGCGCCTGTAACAGGAGGGATCCGGGAACAGCTGTTGTTAAGACATCCGGACCCCACCTAACGCCAGCCCGCTCCTGGTGCGGACTCAGTTCCCTCCTAGCGACCGAGTGCAGGTACCTTCCGAAGCAACCGTGCCCGGAAAGCACCTGCGTCAGCCGGAAGGAAAGGGTCCCGTGCTGCCGCCCTGCCCACTCGGCGATGACCGGCTGGAGAGCCTCCACGGCGGCGAAGCCAGCGCGTGGAGTCTCCAGCCGGAACGACCAACGAGCCATCGTGGCTCGGCGAGCGGCTTCGAGCCACTCGCGCACATCCTCGGGCGGAGGGCGAAATCCGCTCTCCGCCCGGGAGTCAGCCACTCGCCGATAAGCTTCGGCGAGCACTTCTGCCTCCAAATCCCACGGGGGAGTTCCGGCCAACGCGCATGCCACCTCCGTCGAAACGGTGCGGTAACCGCGTATGGCTCTGACCGCCATTACCCTCTGAGGGCGCCAGAGGCGTACCCTATTCTGGGCGGTCAGACCCGCCGCCCACACCGGTGCACCGTACAGTGCCATTGACCGGACAACCCCCGTCTACAGCCGCCTTGTCGCGACGCTGGGTCCACCCATATTGGGCAAAAGTCGCCCTAGGGCAGACGCAGCGCCGACCAGCTTTGGAGCAAGCTGTCGGAAGTGCTCGTCGAAGAGCCACCTCCCGTCGAGGATCAGGCACACAAACCCTATACCAACCCGTCTGGCCAGCGTGGTATAGTAGGCCAAAGCCTCCTTCTAAGGAGAGGCCTATGTCCAGCAGTGGACTATTGAAGGTGTTGATGTTGAGGCTGTTGTGTTGGTATGGAGATAATTTGAGTCCTAGGAAAGGGCATAGGATAGTTTTTATCCCAGAAATCATCCATTAAGGGAGTGAAAAGGAGGAGGGGTTGAAGTATTTATATGGAATCAATAACTGTTGAACTGATTTAGATAATATAATATAATATTTTAGCTATATAATATTATAGTATTAGCTATATAATATTTTAGCTTTGTTCTCCTCAAGTCCTTTTCAATAGGGTTAGCAGAAAAATAAAAACATTCTTTCTTTTTAAATCTACATTTATTAATCAAACTTTCAGTCTTATAAATTATTATAAAATAATAAAAATAACAATATTACTTAACGATTAAACTAAATTATAATAACGATATGTCTATAAATTAATATTCAACATAAACTTACAAATACCCTTAACTTCAAAGTAACTACTACAATTACACAAGAGTTGATTGCCTTCAAACAGGTGTACAGATATTCTTAAATTATACCTAAGAATATTCTCGATCTAGTCGCCTTTCAAATAAAGAAAACTAAATCAAAATCGGTCCTCCCGTTTCCAAGTTATGGTACCACAAAAATACTCAGATGTACACGTTAAGGGCTAGGAACTAGATAAAAAATGTACATGTACAATTATATTGTTTGTTTATAATAACTTAATAGCAAATTTTGCATATAAATGTTAGCTTTGTACATTAAAAATAATAATTATTCCAAATGTGATATGCATCCGTGCGTATAGTAGGCTAATGCCTCCTTTTTAAGGAGAGGCCTACGTCCAGCAGTGAATTACTAAAGGCTGTTGATGATGATGATGCGTCATATCTGTTTAAACAGGATCACCAACAATTTTTTAACTGTATGAATATCCGTGTGGTTACGGATTAAGAATACAGAGTGTCACCACCTCTATTCATCCCATGGGTGTCGTAAGAGCAAACTATGCAGGAAAACAGCTCTGTAAAGAGAAGGAATACTTGAAAGAAATCCTATACCCACCCGTCTGGCCAGCATGGTATAAGTAGGCCAAAACGTCGATTCTTAGGAGAGGCGTATGTCCAGCAGTGGACTATTAAGGGCTGTTGATGATGATGATTAATATACAGATATAATTAGAACTACTCTTAGCTATAATCAGTTATAAATATATTATTTACATTTAAATATTATTGTCAAAAACAATTAACATAATCTTATATAATAAAATTTATATTTATGACTTTTTTAACGTAAAATCTTAATTTAGGTGTAATTATAATAAATTGTGACATATAAAAGAGCCCTATCTAGACCGTGTGGTGACGGATTAAGAATACGGAGTCTCACCACCCATGTTCATCTCATGGGTGTCGTAAGAGTCGACTAAGGGAGCAAACTACGCAGGAAAACAGCACTACAAAGAGAATTAAAACTTGAAACAAACCCTGTACCGACCCGTCTGGTCAGTGTGGCCTTTCTAAGGAGAGACAATTGGACGCAGCAGTGGACGATTAAAGACTGTTCATAATGATGATGATCTAGACAGAAACTCAGCATAAATTGTACTGTGGGCTTTAGAACTGGATAATTAACTAACTATCACCGATGATATGATGAATTGTAATTAAATGTATTTTGCATTCCTTAGGGTTCTTTTTTGTTCAAATTATACCCATTTGACTTAACAGAAAGTAGACTTCTTTAATTTCTCACAACGGTCCATAAATGACGGAGTTTTTAGATAATGAATATAAAAATATGCAACCAAATTGAGAACCTCCCAATACTTTTTATGTGTCACAACAGCCTTCCTCTTTGTCCTTTATGCAGCACCACTGAGACGATCAAATGAATGAATGTCCTCAAATAAAGTAAATATATTGTTGTTTATAAAGTGCAGCATCTGGTAAAGAGAGTCTAGTCCCACATAAATTAATATTATCAAACTAAAAAATTAACCAAAAACCATTAAAATCATCTTAGACAAATATATGACCAATATACAATATACAATCACCAATGGATGATTATCTTGATGATCTGATGATATATTACAGATACAAATACACTCACACAAACATTCTTTATTGTAACATTTTGTTCTTTATTTATCTTATCTATCCAGTAACTTTACGTGCCTGAATTATTTCTCTAACTCACAAGCGGTATTTGAGTAATTATCTTTGTTAGCAAAAACAACTACCGATGTTATAGCAGCTTTTCCCGGGTTTTTTTACCAATTGGATTGCTAACAGTAAGTTGAAGAGTAAATATTTAAAAAAGGCATCATTTGCGGGTAATTTAAGCTAGCTTGGCGACCAAAGTAGAGCGATGATCACTCCTAGTTGTGTGCTTGTTGACAGGAGTAGAACAATCTAGAAAGTACTCTATGCAACTTCTTGCCATTCGGTTAAAGGAGCTTTAACCGAATGGCAAGAAGTCTCTACCGGCCAAAGTAAATTGCATTTATTTTTCGCATTGTTACAGTGTTTGATAGCTTCATATTCGTTATTTAAATGATTGTTATTGTCTAAAACAATAACTTCACCGTATTTATTTCGGATATAGCTTTTAATTAAATTAACTACCTCATTTAAATCATGCGTATCTAAATTATTCACTACTGGTTGAAAATTGGTCACTGACACATCTTTGAACTTCAATTCTAATTTAGCTTCAAGTAATTTAAGATTCGAGGGCCACATTTTAAGGCCGATTGATGGACTGATAGTGTGTACCATTGGATCGTCACATACTTTCTTAGCAACTAAAATATTATCTAAAGGTATACTTAAATGTACGTTTGAATTATATACATGGGCCTTGATATAATCGTTATTTTTAACATAATTGTATAATCTACTTTTCATTTCGTTTTGTAAAGGTGTAAAGTTGTTAGTTATTGAAAACATACTTGAATTTTTATCATAAAATTGATTTAGAAGAAATGGTGAGATGGGTTTACCAGAAATATATTCTGGCTGTAATGGGTAGGTTTTAAATAAATAATCATTGAAATAGTTAGTATCTGAAGTTGGTTGTTTACTAACTACTGATGTTGGTTTAGAATATAAACTTGGATATGTTTGTGTACTTGCTTTATATATAGTTTGGTAATAATAATGGGGTTCTGCATTATTTGATTCATTTATATTGGGATTGTGTTTATTAGACTTAAGACTTTTCAAAAAGGATGTGTCATGTATGAATTGATTTGTCAAAGTAGGTGGTAGGGAAGTTCCAGAAAGTGTTTCTATAGGTGAACTCACCTTAAAAAGTGATTGAAATGTATTATAATTTTGCAAATTTGATGATGATGCACTTATAGTAGGAATTGGTGGTGATGAAGTTGATAAGGAATCAATAGACTGCATAGGTTTTAAAGGACTTGACTGTTTTGCTATTGATGATAGTGGAGTATAATATGTTTGAATGAATTGTGAATTTTGAAAACTTATATCTTTAGACGCAGTATTCATAGGTTTAGGATACAGTGTTCTATATTTTGGGTAAGTTAGTGGCATATATCTATGATTTGACGATAAAGATGAATATGGAGAAAACTGAATGGTAGGTAATGAAGAGAAGCCCTTACTTGTGAGTAAAGGCTTTTGTGAAGCATATGGTACTGACAGTGGTGATGAAGTTAATACTTCATTTTTGTAGTTTGATGTTGAAGTATGAGTTAATGGTGAATTTACAGGGGTATTTGAAGTCACGTGAGAAGGTTCTGCTGGCATATATGAAGGATAGTGAGAGACTGGAGTCTCGACTGGACTATATTGTGATGGTGATATTGTTGAGTAAATAGGCTTTAAGAGTGAGGATGACAGTAAGGAAGGATGCAATGTATAAGAAACAGGAGTGGATAGTGGAGTCCTGGGTTGAGGGTATGACAATGATTGTATTAATCTACTACTACTACTACTCATTAATTTAGGTACAGGGCTCACAACATTGGTAGCCAGTTTTAATGACGCTGATTCTGGGGTTATATATGTAGAAGAAGTAAATGGTAAAAATTGAGTATTAATTATGGTAGATGAAACTTCAGTAGGGCTTAGCCCAATATTTAAATAAGGTTTAGAATTGAATACCACTCTAGATTTGGCTGGGGTTGGAAATGCATTAGAAATAATCGATTTTAAGGGAGTGTAGTAATTTGCATTTTGTGAAGTTATTGAAGGATTGTAAGGTGTAATGTGTTGGGTTGAAGCTAGGTTAGATAATGGAGTGACATATGTTGATGTAGATTGCGGGGATTTAAAGTTAGACAGTGGTGTATTCGAGTAGGTAAAATTATCAGAGCTTTTCTTTAAATTTGTGACTGTGAATGTAGAAGGATAGTATGAAAACTGTTTGAGTGGTGATAATATCACGGGCTGAGAAGTATATTTAGACAAAACACCTGGAGCTTTGATAGGTAAGGCTTGAGGATAAGTCAATTGACTACGTATTGATGGACTTAATTTTGATAAAAATAGTAGTGGACTAGATGTTGATAAAGTTTTAGAAAGAGAAGAATCTACTGGAGTTATGAAGCTATCATCACTTTTTAGATTGATTGTAGGTAATGATGATTCAGGGATAACGTACTTTGTATTATCATAGGGTCTCTCAACTGATGTTACTGATGGTAAATCAGTTTTGATATGAACAGCTGATATTTCTGAAGGATATTCTGCAGGAGGTGATGACATAGTACTCATAGCAGGTTTGAATGAAGATGCTTTAGAATAGGTTGGCATTTCATTGGCAAAAGGTTTATGGTGTGTGATTGTTGTAGGAGAAGCGAGTTTATCTGAATATATAGGTAAAGGTACATTTGTACATGGTTTTGATTGTGGTGCAGGATATATCAATCCGAATTGCCCATATTTATAAGGTGAGAGTTTTGGTGTTGACTGTAATGGTGTAACTAATGGTAATTGAGATCGAGAATTCGGACAAGGTTTAGTAGAGTATACAGAACTGATAGAAGGATAGTATGACTGATATTTCAGTGGTGAAAAATATTTTGTGAATGTATTTGATGAAGGTGCCGCGTTCTGAGGTGTAGAGTATATAGTATTAAATTGTGGGTCAAAATATTGTAAGTATGGATCTGACATCCTGATTGGTGCGCAGGCGACTGATGATATCATTGGAGAACTAGCAACAGGAACATATGGAGTAGTATATGTGTACGGACCAGGGACAGTCTGAGAGCTTGATGTAGGCATTGGCAGAGATGATGACACTGGTGTGACAAAAGGTGGTATAAGTTTTTGAGGATGCACTATTGTTTCAGACTGTATGTTATGAGTTTCTTTAGGCAAACTAGTTTCGACTGGCATAGAAGGTACAATGGGTAATATAGGACTAGCCGTACCTATTTCTGAAGTCAAAGGTGATGAGTATAGTGATTGTAAATATGGTGTACTAGAAACAAATTTTGGTAATTGTGGCCTTTGAGCAATTACTGGACAATTTATGTATCTTGGTGATGAAATAGACTTTACGCATGAGTTATGAATGTGTCCGCTCTTCATACTTTCGGGTAGTGTTGGTGTATTTACTTTAAGTAACAAAGGACTTATACGTGAGTTAGGAGGTACTAATAGATTTGTATTTGAAATAACAGAATATGAAATACTTGCAGGTGGTGGTAATGAAGCTGTTCGCGTATTAATGGTATCTTTGCTGAACAGCCGTTTTGCAGATAAATTTCGAGATAACTTAGGACATACAGTTTGCGATAAAGGTATTTGAGAAGTCATCACACTTGATATAGCTGCAGAATCAAGTAATGATGGTTTAATTGATGCAACTGAAGATAGTTCAGTAACTGGAGTAATAGGATTTGATGCATCTAATACAGAATAAGGTGCCGGCTTATATTCATACAACCTTTGTTTAGATAAAGGTGAAGAAACTTTTGGGACTGCATACTGTAAAGTATTTAATGGTGCTGTTGTAGGAAGAATATGTCTTGGAAAGTTTAATATTGCATATTTACAAGGCAACGATTTAGAAAAGTTGGGTGAAGAAATTTGTCTACACTCTGATACAGGTATTGGTTGTATTGATGCAGGTAATGTCTTTGTTAAAGAGTTTGATATTGATTGCAGAGAATATGCATTTCGTAAAGGTGTAACGTATTCTGAGCTTTCTTTTAAAGGAGATATAGGTGTTATTGCCGCGAACGATCGACTAGGTGCGGATATCGATAGTTTAGGTGATGGTAGGTAGACTAAACCACTATCTTTCAATGGTGTTGTGTAGACAAGTACTTTCAAGGGCGAAGATTCCCCGGAACTCAACTCAGGGATAAATATAGGTGATAAAGGCGATACAGGTGTCTGATACAAATTTGGCGATTTATATTCATTAACTGATAATATTTTAACTGGCGTGATTGATTCTAAGGCATTTACAGGCAATTGTTTGGTGATTAATTGTGGTTTTAAAGTTTTACTAGATACATCTACAGTCAAGTAGGAAACCAAATTGGAATTTGAAGAAGGGGAAACTGTTTGAGGAATTGCAGGTGTTTCAAGGTTAACAGAATAAGAAGTGTACCATGAAGGACTAGACATTACTTTAGGTGTATCACCGATCTGAGTGTATGGTAATCTAGGCGATGATGGTGCCATATTTTGAGTTCTAAGGTTAGAAGAAGCGCTTGTTGTTGCAGGGATTTCCACTGCTTCTGAAATTGGATAATATAACAATCCTCCTACAGGTTTTGTTCCTTTCGATAAATAAGATGAAGAAGGTAACTGAGTATAAGAATTAATGGTTAGAGAAGTAGGTGTAATTAATGGTATCATGGTTGGTGACAACGACTGGCATGGTTTACTAATTTGTGGTCTTCTATATGGTAAAGACGAAGGTGTAGCTGGCATTGCTAACAAATTAGGTACATTAGCGTCTATATGACAAGGAGTCTCACTTTGTGATAGCAATTTATAGAAATTAGGTGTATATTTGTTTAGAATTGATGATTGTGGATAGTTGGAATACAATACTTTAATTGGTTTGTTTAGCATTTCAGATGGTTGTAAAGGAGATATAATTTGTGGTATATATTCAGATTTATATGAAGCCGGTTGAGGGAGTCCAGAAACTGATTTTGGATAATAATTTAGTGGTGTATATTTTATTTTATTTATATTTGGTGCTTGAAGTATAGGTTCTGTGGCTTCAACAGATGATGCGGCTATAACAGGAGTAGATAGTATTTCAGTATAAACTGGTTTATACGTTGGAACATATGATTGTGAATACGGTTTTGATACTCTATCTAATAGTGAAGTTCCCAAGGTATTTATTAAGCTAGATGCCGTTTCATCAGATGTCAAAGGTATGTTAATAATGTAATGTACTGGGGTAGTTGGAGATGAAGAGGAGGTATCACTCCTTCTCCATTTTGGAGATTCAGTGTTATTTAACCTTAGTGATTTTAAACCTTCAGGGATTGGTTCTAAAAGGTATGATGCGATTGGAGTAGATGGTTTAAGAAATACAGAACTAGGGACGGCTTCTTGTAGATATGGAATAGGAGAATGTTGACTTGAAAGTTTTTTTTTAGATTGAGGAACCTTTGACGTAGTTGATGTAAAAGGCCTTAATGGTATACCATGCCCCGCTTTTTGGATTAATTGAGGACTGTATTTAAGTCGTAAAAGTGGTGAGGTAAACTCTGAAGGTTTCAACCCAGTTATTAATGATGATGGTGGCATTGTAGGTAATGTAGTTTCTTCTAAAGGCAAAGCGCTAAAAGCGTTTGAAACTGTGTGTAAAAATGAAGTGGGCAAACCAGATGACGGTATTGCTTGGATGTCTGTCTGAATTGGTATGTTATTATTATTCAATGGAATTACAGGGTCTGTTTTAGTTTTAACTAAACTTAGAGAAGTTAATGGATAAATTTTATAAGGTGCTAAATTTGGAGTGATCCAAACTGGTGTCACTTTAGAGACCTTTTGTGATGAACTGTGATAAGATACGGGCGATAAAGGCGCTCTACATTCACAAGGCAAGATTTCTTTAAAATTAATACGTTCACTGGGTATATTTGGCATATTTTTGGGAACCAGTTTAGTAGTGTAAGATAATGGAGTCACTAAGTTGGGTGGTTCAGACAGTTTGTATGTAATTGCACCTATTGGTTTTGTATCAGCCATTAGTATTGGAGATAGTAACGATGGATGAGTGTAAGGTAATGTAGGAGAAGGTTTTGCAGGGTACATCAATGGAGAGCTTATTTTGTCAGGTGTTCTTAAAAACGATGTAAGGTATATTGGACTTGTAACTGGTGATGGTATATGAGTAGTGCTGTCTGACAATAATGATGGGGGTTCTCCTTTCATCAGAGGTGTGATTAAAACTGGCGATGCTGATAAGTTATCTAAAGGTATTGGCTGAGGTATATTCTTTTGTGGTTCCTTGTAAATTGGCAAAGACTCTGACCACCTCAAGGGAGATTTTGTTTGTCGGTTACCTTCACTATAGTAAGTATAAGAAGCTGGAAAAGCTGTGGGTAAAGCAGAATACATTAGTGGTGTTGGTATTATTGACGATTTAGTTACTTCTACTGGTATTGTGGAAAAAACAGTGGAATGAGCGTGTGATATGGGATTCAAAGAAATAATTTCGTTATCTGATAATTTTGTATAATTTAATTTAAGTATTGGAGGGAAGGGTCCTTTGACTTTTAACCGACTCGTGTACGGTGCATAAGTTTTTAATAAATTTGGTTCTGACACTTGCCGATATTCTTGGAATGGATAGACACAAGGTTTAGTTAAAGAATCTGTTGGGGTTGGAAGTGGCATTTGAAATAAACCTTTAAACTTTAATATATCTTTTATGGGAACTAGCGACGCAGAAATAGGTTCAAAGTGCCTCTTTGGAATAATTGCATTGGGGTTTTCAATTGTTGTGGTCTTTCTTAATGAACCACTGATAGGTACAAAGAAAGAATGTAATGAGCTTTTTTCGTCAGGTAAATACTCTAAATAGTTTAAAGATGAGCGGGGTATTGGCAACATTGTCGAGACAGCAGAGGGTTTTGCTTGAAATAGATTTTTTATATCCGTGTAAGATAATATTGATCTTAAATTACTATCGTAAGAGGTTTCTAGTTGAGGGTAGGCCGAAGGTAGCAGTCTAGCCATTGGCTTATGGGATAAATGGCTGGTATAAGTAGATATCGAAGGTTCTAAAACGCTAGACGATGAGGTGACAGGAAATATTTTATTAAATTTATTAGCAACACTTGATTCAACGTATGGTTTTGTAGGTTGTTCAGCACACGTCAAGATATTGGACGCAATATTGCTGGTTGGAATGGGTTGAATAATCGGAGAGTGTTGTTGAAATTGACTATTTGTTGGTAATTCTGCAGTGAGATGTGATAATTTGGTGGAGTCTTGAGTAATTGGTAGTAGAAAGTCTGTCGATGATGGAATATGATAATGTAGTTTCTGAAAACTTGGTTCGTAGTTACTTAGTTTTTGTATGTAAGTTATAGGTTTATTGCTTATTGCGGATGTCAAAGTAGATGTTGGTTGTTCGGTGAACTGAACGATTTCTGATAAATTAGTATATATTGGTGATCGGGTTAAAGATGAAGCTACTGTACCTACCTCCGGCAACGGTAAGAAATGTTGCATATCGCTGTCCGAAAGTAAAATTGGTGTAAATGAGGATAATGGCTTAATTTTTTGTGCTGGTTTTGAATGCAGGTGTTGAATTTTAGATAAAGATTGCCAGAACGTAGAAGGTGCTAGAGTAGATGGAGAACTTGTACAAAAAGAAGTTGTAGATGCTTGAGAAGGAACAGATGAAATAGGAGATAAGGTTGGTTGACTATATTTTTGAGTCCTCAACGATTTATGCTTAGCAGGCGAAGCTATAGTCTCGAAAGAGTCTCTAGCGCTTTGATTTTTATATTTTAATGGGGACACTGTAACAGAGGGGGTTATTGGAGGTGATAAAGTAATACGTGATGGAGCAGTCACTAATGGTAAACTCAACTTTGGAAAAAGGTTTGTTTGAATAGGAGTAGTTGACCACGAATCTATGTATGGTTCTTGGTCATGATCTACAGGTTTCATTTTATTAATTGGTAATGGGTATATCATAAGTGGTTCTTTGCTAGATGTCGTCAATATTTCTGTTGATCCATTAGGTACTTCTGTGTATATTTTAATTCGTGGATTGGCTAAACTTAAAGGGTCAAACTTAGGTTGTAAATTTTGTCTAGACACTGAGATTGTTGGAGTCTGAACAGGTAATAATTCTGCTTCTATGATTGAAGACGAAATAGGAATATCTGACTTAGGAGTACCAGATTTAGTTGATAATTTATATTTTTGTAAACTGGAAACGGGTGTTAACCAACTTTCAACGGGCATTGGTGGCATGTTCTGTGAGTTACTAGAGTAAAATGAAGAGAATGGTTCTACAATTGTAGGTAATACTGGACTAACACTTAAAGGTTCAGATGTCTTTAAATGTATGAATGGAGTACGACACCTTGATATCGTTTTTGGTGCTTTGAGATTATTGTTTCTTTGTTTTAAATGACTCATAGCAAGATTTATAGGAGTTAATACCGCTGGTTTATTGGTTTTAGTGATTTCTGGTAGGTGTGAAATAATATCAAACTGCGGAAAAGAGATAAAAGTCGTGAAAGTAGCATCCTCTTGTGGGATACTTAATTGTGACATCTTGACAAATGGTTTTAACAGTGGTGTTCCATCAGTTGATGGACTAGTAGTGCTTAATGAGAAAGGCGTTATGTCTAGTGTTTCACAATTCGGTATTATTTTTGGCATTTGTGATATTTGAGTTATTGGTGATAGTTCCATAGTTTTAGAACTTTTTCTATAAGCAAGTGGTTCAACACTGAATGATGAAGTAATATTTGGAACAGATTGCAAATTTTGAGATAGTTCTGAAATAGGCATTTCTAATTCAAGGTCAGCAGTTGGCAGAATTTCATTGTCTGAAGTTGGTTTCTTGGATTCTTCCTGAGTAATATTATGATGTATAATATAAAAAGCTTCTGTGTCTGAATCAGAAGAGATGCTGGGAGCTACAGATATTTTAGCATTAATATAGAACTTAGTGTCTTCATTTGGAACAGGTTTACTGTACACAACTTGTGGTGGTACTGGGTAATCTTCAGGATTATCTAAAAATGGAATATTATCTATGGTGTAGAAAGGTTTCTGATTTTCAGTATCGAGTAAAGCATTTAAATAAGGAGATTCCGTTGGCTTTTTGTCATATTCACATGAAATTTCATTTGAGTTCTTAATTTTAGTGTATTCACAATTAATATGTTGTGTTGATTCAGTTTTTTCAGTTTCTGTTAAAGGCAACATAAAAAAATTGGGTTCTTTTGAAGTTTGAGTAAAATTGAACTTATCTGATTGTGAAGATAATACCGTAGGATTCACGTCTACTGAATAGCTAGTGTTAATAATTGGGATGGCTCCTGTAGGCTCTGTTGCTTGAAAACTTTCATCATTGAGTAATTTATAATAGTAATTGTTTACTCCACCAGTATTATTTCTAGTTGCGTACGAATTAACTGTACTATCAGCTGTATCTGTAATAACAAATTCATTGTTATAATTATCTGTGCTATTTAATATTTCAGCAATTTTAGGCTCTCGGTTGCAAACTTCATTACTACCTGAATCTGAAATTGTTTCACCAGTTTCTATATTTTTAAAATAACCATTAACATCTTTGTGATACTCTGCAGAATCTCCAGTTGAATAGATGTGTTTTACATCGGAATTTACAATATCTGTGTCAGTACCGTTACAATCAAACAGTATTGGTTTGTTATAGCTTACATTTTCATCATTGAACAAAATATCAATTATCTCTGAAATCTTATGATTTTTAACAAAATCTTTTAACGTTGCATTTTGATTTTCTGGCTCGCTTTTGTTTGTTTCTTCAGTGTAAGACTTATTTTGTTCAACCAATTTGATGTCATATTCATCATTTTTAATATTTTTATCTATATAAACATTAATAGTTTTAGGTGATGACGATGAGTCTATATATTCAGGTATCGCGACTTCATAAAATTTGTATTTGGAATTGTAAACTGGATTAATCGTGTGATACTTTTCATCTTTATCATTATTTGTATTACTCTGCGCATTGGCAGTATCTTGGTGTTCTAAACCATCACAGACACACTTTCTATCTTTTGGTCGATTAAATTTATCTTTTTCTAGCAGCCTAACTATGATTGGCCATTTTGTTTGACCTGAGCTTGTTAATGGATCTTTGAAATGCTCATTAAGATTGTCGCCATGTAGATGTAATTCATCATTATCTTTTATCGTTTGTTCCTTATTTATTGAACCAACTTTTTCACTCGTCAGAGACCAATCGCTATATTTCATCAATAGGTTATGAAATAAATGTTTGTCCATCAGAAATGAGTCAAGTTTCGTGTAATCATCATCAGTTTGAAGGTAAAATGTCACTCTGTAGTCCTGTCCTTTGCAATGGGCTTTGGACTCTTCCACTATATTAAATATGTTCTGGTTAGTTGATATGCACGCTAATTCTGGGTTTGGTTCTTTGTTCTGAAAATAATTATTAATTTGTTTTTGTTTATTTAGAAATAGAGGGTTGAAGCTATGCTTTGGTTCGACCGGTCTCTCAAGAAAGCTTTGTTGCGTTAAGTTTTTCACGGAGTGAGTAATTTTACCCTGCGCTTAAATTCCTCTTCCTCAACTGCACACCCCACCCTAAGAATTAGGGTGAGAGGGGGGGAGGGGGGGTCTAACCTCAAGTCTCTTGAGTTGCAGGTGTCCATGGACGGCGGTAGTCACTTACCATCAGATGACCCTTCCCCTTTTTTCTCCCCTATACGTATACTATAAAAGATATTTAAAAAATAATTTCTGACTTGCGATCCAGGAGTTGAGGGAATGTAAGTCATTATTAACGTTACCTGGTTTGATGTAATGATCGGAAAGTTTTGATGATTCGTCCACCAGGGTGTTGTTGAAGCCTTGATGTACGGTGTTTGGAAGCCATTGCACGATGGAGCCGCACTGGTGATTGCCAGGATTGAATCTGAGAAGGTATTGATGATCTTATTGATGGGTAGTCCGAACTCTGAAGATCTGAGACTGTTTTAGAATGAATTGACTTTTCACTCAAACATTTGAGACTATTTCATAATTTTAGTCCCACTCACTTATTACCGCCAACCGGACACATATATTACTAAAATAATGACCATACTTATATCCGTGTGGTGACGGATTAAGAATACAGAGTGTCACCACCCCTATTCATCCCGTGGGTGTCGTAAGAGCCGACTAAGGGAGAAAACTACGCAGAACAACAGCAACTGCAGAGAGAAGGAAAACTTGACACAAAGCCTATACCAACCCGTCTGGCCAGCGTGGTATAGTAGGCCAAAACTTCTTTTCTAAGGAGGCTTATGTCCAGGAGTGGACTGTGAAAGGCTGTTGATGTGAACATAGTTATATATTTCTAAAAACATACATATTATAGACAAATTATACCCAGACATAAAACAAAATGATCGTACTCATCACACAATATTTGTCTTGGGGATCGAGCCGACGCCCTCAAACTGAGCAGTCAGGATCGCTTAAACAATAGACCAATAGTCCCGTCTAATTAATTTGTAACATTAATAAAGTTAAGACGCTACTCTAGTTATTTCGTTGTATTTATTTACGAAACAAAATAGGTTAATTTGGGGGTTTTATTACATCTGTCTTTCCAGTCTACTTAAAATATCTAAATACAGTTAATAGGGTAGCTTTGGAAATAAGATTTTGAACAATTAGTTGGCTTTTGTGGTCTAACGATTAATGAATTTCTATTTGCAATGTAATTTGTACTTTATTGTGTAGAGTTTAGTCTTGTTATTTGTGTTTTTACACCGAAGGGTTCTTTATGATTCTTTGCTGTAGTAAGTATTAACTAGTGATGTTGATGATGATGATGATGACGAGATATCCGAGAGTAATAAGTTGAACCGACTTCAAAGACTCTAACAAAATCCTAGCAGCAATCGCGGTTGATTTGCTGTCATTTTTTGAAGAGTTCCGTTGTCTGTCTCCGAAACTCATGATCAGATCTATTTTTAATATTATTGTATCCTCTTTATCTAAACGATGCACATCTCAGGTGCGCAGGTGCGAGAGTGCGTGGAACTCCACCGTCTCCTTCAGCGAGCTAGTTATCCTTGCGAAGTTGATGGCGGAGCGGGACCGGGAGAGGTTTAGAACTCTCCCGGCCTGCCAGGCCCGGGAACGGGAGAGGTACTTCAGATGACTCGGAAGCCGGAGGTCGCAGAACGACCTCTGTCCTCCATAAGCGCAGGGCTGGGGGTGACAGGTGAGGCCATCTGTCACCCTAGCAGAAGCAGGCCCGGAGTGGTTCCCACACAGGTTCATCTACACGGCGTTTAATGGCCCGAGGTGCGTCGGGGTACCAGGGATTTCCTTTATAGGGTACACCTGGTCCCGGCTACTGTTACCCGAGACGGCGTGCGGTTTTTGGTCAGTTCGAGTTCGACATAATCACCCCACCGGTGATATCCGAGGGAATTTCCGCGTAATACAAAAAAAAAATGCGTGGCAGCTTCAACAGTATCCTGAACATGATCTCTAGTCGCCTGGACTATAGTTACATCAGTCGTTGCCGCGCAATTGCGTACGCGCAGTGGCGCAGCAATGATTGTTCTGTGTCTCATGTGTGTATTTTAGGTATCTTTTATGTATGTCTATTTCTCTTTGTTTTGTGGTTTGTTTTCTATATGTACTGTATTAACACTAGTCTCTAAGAATATTGTTACTAATATAGTAATGTGGAGCAGTATGTGTACTTACGGGTGAATATAAATAAAAGTCAATATCCACTTACTGTTATGATTTATACACACAACAACACGATATACTATTTAAAAGACAGAAGGAGTACAAGCAAGAGACACACAATATACACAACGCGACACAGAATATACTGTCTATTCACAACACTTTATACTATATAAATTTACTTAATTAAATAAGATGGAATGTCAACAAAAACCGAGAACGCGCAGGCTGTAAGGGGGCCATGGACCAACTAACTTAACGTACTTACTATACGATCGTTCTGGAGCGACCCACATCACTCAACACCATAATGTAAAAAATCATAAGTGCGTGAATGTCTTGAGTAGTGTTAAGAAGTAATAAATAACTATTTCCAAACCTTAAGTGTTCAGATAACTGTGATAAATGACTGTGAAGCTCGTCGTGGGTTCGATTCCCACTTAGGACGAATACGAGTGTTGTGTGAAATTATTTTGATGGACCGATTTTGATGAAATTTTTCGTGTGTGTTCAAGGGGATCTGGGAATGGTTTATATTCACAATTTTGTCCGCTGGACAATGTTTTTTTAATTAATTTTTAATTTATTAGTAGTTGTTGATTTTGGAATGTTTTACATTGGATCCGACAGACGGCGCTACCATCGCAGTGTCAAATTTGACAGGACAACGTCTGTCGGGTCCGCTAGTATTATATAAATTTGTGGTACATTATTGTTTAGATCATTTTCCAATTTTTTACAAATACCTTTTACTAAATATTTCTTGATTCAAAACCTCTCAATGAGTAAAGATCTCCTTCAATTTTCTAAAATAATCTCTAACTTTTACTTTAGTAAACCATCACATCAGATATGTATGAAATTTAAATGGGACCAGTTCGGAATAAACCAAATTCGAACAAAAAAAGAATTTTGAAAATCCGTCTATGTATGGCGGAGTTATGAAAGAAAGAAAGAAAGAAACATATTTATTTGCAGAGAATACAGGTGGTACCAGATTTTACAAAGGTGTATAATGTTCAAGCTATATTCTGCCTGTACTAGGCATGCAAATATTTATATAGAGACTCAAAACATTAACTAATGATAACTATTAACTAATAAAATTAACAAAATGTAAAAAAAAAAAAATATTACATAGAAATTATTAAATTTAGAAATTATTAAATTTATTGAATTATTATATCTAATTTATTAAATCTACAAATGATCATATACATCAGTTTTGTATTGCATGAACTCTTTCATTGTATAAAAGCACTTATCAACTAGCCATTTTCTTAACTTAATTTTAAAATATTTAAACGGAAGTTCCCTAAGGCTCTTAGGAAGTTTATTGAAAACTGAAATGCACATGTGATACACATTCTTTTTCATCAAAGATGTTCTACAAAATGGAATCATTATTTTCGTAGGATCTCTTGGTCTGTATTTAGTAACATGATCCCCCTTGAATTTAAAGAAATTATTATATTTCCTAACAAAGATTGATACTTCAAGAACATACATGCAGGTCAATGTCAGCAAATTATGTTTTTTATACAACGGTTTACAAGAGTCAAGTGGACTCACTCCACAAACAGCTCTTAAACATTTCTTTTGGGCAATAAAGGCTTGATCAACATCAGTCGAATTCCCCCATATTATTAACCCATATCTAAGGATTGAATCTACGTAACCTTTATAAGCTACAAGTGCAGTCTTTTCATCAGTAACGGTACGAAGCTTTCTAAGGGCGTAGACAAATCTACTTAGTTTGAGGCAAACATCATTTATGTGTTGTCTCCAGTTACAAAATCTATCCAGAGTTATACCTAAAAATTTTATACTGTCAGCTTCTTCTATAGTATTATTTTTTATCTTTATGTTCACGAGTATGTTATTTTTTGAGTGTTTACTTCTATTCGTACCAAATTTTATTAGTTTTGTTTTTGATAGATTTACATTTAATTTGTTTGCTTTTAACCATTCTAATACCAATTGTACTTCTTTACTTATTTTAGTTTCATGAGATGTATCTTTATTCTTATATGGCACTATTATAGATATATCGTCTGCGAAAAGAACACTTTGACAATTAATTGAATCTGGTAGGTCGTTGATGTAAAATAAGAACAGTAACGGTCCCAAAACGCTACCTTGTGGAACGCCATATCTATTGACCTTGTATGGGGATGCCCGAACATACATAAAAAAATCCCGTCCGTGTAGTGACGGATTAAGAATACGGAATATCACTACCCCAATTCATCCCATGGGTGTCGTAAGAGCCGACTGAGGGCGCAGAACAACGCAGGACAGCAGCACTGCAAAAAGAAGGAAAACTTGACACAAACCCTATACCAACACGTCTGGCCAGCGTGGTATAGTAGGCCAAAACCTCCTTTCTAAGGAGAGGCCTATGTCCAGCAGTGGACTATTAAAGGCTGTTGATGTGATGTGATACATAAAAAAATATATAAACATCCGTATTGATAACCTCCTCCTTTTTGAAATTAGTGAAATAAAAAAAATCCGTTTATGTCACTGATTGGCAGATCTTAAACGGATCTTTTATTTTGAAACTAGCTGAACCGGCAAACGTTGTTTTGCCATATACATTATACCAATTTTTTTTGTCAAGAAACAAAAAAATTGGTGTCTGAAAAATAGATGTTGGCCGATTCTCAGACCTACCCGATATGCACACAAAATTTCAGGTTTCGGAGAAGTTCAACCACGCACACCGACACACGAGATTTATTTATTAGATTTTACGTTTATTTTCATATCATTATCAGACCTGCCGTCCTGTATGGTTTCGAAAGTTGGCTCGTTAAGAAAACGGATGAGAGACGCCTGAACGTAGCCGAAATGCGAATGCTGAGATGGATGTGTGGTGTGACTCAGATGGACAAGGTTAGGAATGAGTATATACGAGGGAGTCTGAAAGTAGCGCCACTGGATGAAAAGTTAAGAAGTAATAGGTTATCTTGGTATGGACATGTCATGCGGAGGGATGAGGAAAATGTGGCGAAGAAAGTTTTAGGTATGGAAGTTGAAGGGTACAAGAGAAGAGGCAGACCGAAGAAAAGGTGGATGGACTGCGTGAGGGAGGATATGGCTAGGAAGGGAGTAAACAGTGAGATGACGCATGACAGAGTAGAATGGAAAAATCATACATACTGCGCCGACCACAAATAAAATTGGGAAAAGGGGTAGGCAGATGATGATTTTACGTTTATTTTCCTGAAATTAAATTTATAAAGAAACTAGTTTTTGCATGCGACTACGCCCGTGTGTATTTCGCTTATCGTTTTCATTAATAGCCTATGTCCTTCCTAAAGAATCAAATTATCTCCATACCACATTTGATCTAAATCG